GTAATCACTCTCTGGCTAGAATGTGTCGAAAGAAGCTATTTAGCTGATCTCCCGACGGTCCTGAAAGTATTAACCGTTAGGTTTTCCTCCACGCCGTCAGGTAGGCACCGCAAGGCCCCGCCAGTCACCGGGACGCAGGTGTGTATTCCTTATCTACCATAGCATAGGTGACATGCGTGCTTCTTTGACTGGTAGCTCTATCCACATTCTTGGTCTCCAGTAACGACCCTTACAGCATGAAGAAAGATGGTGTGCTGGCGCCACGTTGCCCATTTTCCCTGGGGTGCGACACGGAACCTACCCTAGATGCAAGGCGAATATCCCTCGATCACATCCAACTATTAGATACCCCGTGGTGATTCTAGAGTTCTATCTGAGCTATCATCGTCCAGGAATTATATGGAACCTGTGCAGACACGACACGAACAATGCCTCCTCATTTTCCCGCACCTCCCGAAACACCTTGGTTCACGATCAACTCGAACTCGCGTTTGAACTGCGAGTGGGGTCAACCTAGTTGTTCGTATCAGAGCCAGGGGTTTGATTCTAACTGGAATGGCATGTTTTTCATGATTTCTGGACGACAATACGGTCAGGACGGCCTATGGAAACCTGAACACCAGTGCGATCGTCACTATCTCTCGACGTCAGGAAGGTCACGCCACATCTTTCATCTATCGAATAAGGACCAACGGAAATCGATACTATGTTGTTAAGATCGCTTCGAACACACTGAGTTGGAGCTCAACACTGTCGTCTCTACTTTACCTTGTGTCTTCCCCCTTGTTAGGATTCGAGTTTGAGGGCTGGACCATGATCCGACGGGACTACGCCGGCGGCCCCCTTCATGTTTTAGGGGAAAGAAATGCTTCAAGACATTTTTAGATTTCTCTTCAAGGACATCTCCATCCTGGCAACTCCCTGAGGGTGCATATGCAGGCGTTCCAAAATTAATGCTTGCCAAGATGACCTATTTACCCCTCCTGCGTGTAGCTTGGACTAAAACCTGAGCATCGGAGCCTTTTGCATCGTTTCTAGCTTCGATATATGTGTTTTAAATGTCCGGGCAAGTGGAGGCCATCTCCGAACCCGAGGATGTACGTTGGTCTGCTGATACTAAATGCAGTGCATTCTGCAACTCATGTCCTCGGGAAATGAGCTAGCGCTGAACAATCAAAGACGGGTAGTTTTATTAGAAAATAATTACGACTAGCGAGACCTATTATAACATATATGAATCTCCCTGTAGTGGGTTGAAAAAAAAACATTTACATCTAGGATATCGAGGTAAATAACGGAACTAATGAAACTGGTCCCTAGCCTGCTCCACGTAGGTTCGCATGAGGCCTACAACCTTGAAGAGATTCTGACTGAATTTCGCTGACGTTGGGACCACATCCAGCGTGAAAGGCGATGAGCCATCCTCCGCTACCATCCGAGTCTTGACAAACTCTTCCAGAGTTTTGAGTTTCTTTTTTGCCTCTTCAACAGCGGCAGGATCGTCGTCACCACCCAGGAGGTCTGCCTTGTTAGCGATGACCATCCGGGCCTTTGCGCTCATGCCCGGCTGATACTTCTCAAGTTCTTCGCGCAGGATCGCGAGTTCCTCCCAAGGTGCAGGCCCTGAGAGGTCCACAACATAGACGAGGGCAAGTGAGCGCTCCATCGACCGCAAGAAGGAGTGCCCGAGGCCCACGTTCTCAGAGGAGCGCGATATGAGCCCGGGATTGTCGGCAATAGTGAAGCGAAAGTTCTCAACTATGTCAAAGTGGTGTCCCGGCCGAACAGCCATGTTGCCGTGCGTACCAACGTCGTGTTCAGGAACCTGGTTGCGGGTCAAGGCGTCTGCGAGTTCGCCACTTTCCATCTTTTGTTGTAATTGCTGCTCCTCGAGAAGTGTCTCCTCGTGAGTGAGGTTGCCAGAAACACCACCTTCGAAAGTACCATCCTCTCCGACGCGTACGACGCCAACGACTGGATTCAAGGTGGTGAAAGCGTATCCAGCCACTTCGCTCTTCGCTCTTCCCCCAGTAAGAGCACGCAGCAGTGTGCTTTTCCCCGCATTAGGCATCCCCACCAAGCCGATATCGGCGATGAGTTTTAGTTCTAGTGAGAGGGTAATCCGCTCTCCCCAGTGTCCACGAGATGCGAATTTTGGTGAGCGATTTAGTGTGGATGTAAAATGGGGATTGCCGACACCGCCTAGCCCCCCAGAGGCAATGAGGTGACCCGTGGGTTCATGTTGTTTTACTCCCAGAGGGGCATCCACAGCGCGCTCGATGTTCTCCTCCTTGTCAAGATCCAAGAATATAGGTCGTTCGGATATCCTTCGGCGCCTTGCCAGGCGCCTCTCCCTCTCCTGCTTGTAAAGAACCGCCTCCGCTTCCTTGAATGTATCCCTCTGCACGTTGGCTTCCCCGAACCTAGGATAATGTACCCATCTATTGTCACGCATTCTGTCCCGTTTATCCGAAGGTGAAAGGCCTTCCAGCGATTCCTCTTCCGCTTCCCACTCATCCTTCGCGCGTCGCGGGTCATCACGGTGGAGTTCTCGGACGACAGTGCCCAGGGGTACCTTGATTACCAAAGGTGCTCCGTTTTTGCCATTCTGCCATGTTCCTTGACCGTGGCCACCAGCCTCGCCGCGAATTCGTGTGGGAACAGATGACAGTGTAGTGAGATGGGGTGTTGGAAGGATGTAAACATCTCCTCCCCGTCCTCCATTTCCGCCAGAGGGGGGCCCAAACGGTTTGTACTTTTCTCGGTGGAATGCAGCGCAGCCGTCACCACCGTTACCTATTAGACTGTTATGCGACGCGTCAGAGTACCACTAGATTGAACACATACCTCCTCTAACGTTCACGATGACATGGTCAAGAAAGCTTTGTCCCTGTGTTGAAAGCAATTAATTTCAGAGGAGCTCGAGTCAGGAGAACACTGACACCTTGCTTCCGCTTCCATTCGGTCCGTCGTCGTCGTCGCGCCGCGTCTAAATCGCTGTCGCTTGGGGGAGGAGGGGGTTCAAACTGAACGAAAAATCTTTTGGTTGCAGGTAGTGTCGGGAGCCGGGCAGTGGACTTGAGCTTGAGTGGAATTTGGATACCAGACCTTAGCATCTGATGACCAGAGTGGCAGGAAGGCCGCAAATTTCGCATGACCAACGCGTAGTAGCCGAGCTGCCCGATGGTGCCGTCATTGTTGTGCGGTAGCCTCTCTCACTGCACTGTCAGAAACTCCGGTTCTTTTTTTGCATTCTGTCATGAACCTGAACACACGTATTCCATATCCCTTTCAAAATCTCTTTGCCTATGGTTCAAACCAGATCGACATATCTTCGCATGAAGTCTCCAGTACCAGCTTTAAGGCCACTCTTACATCTGTTTTTCGGATTGCCTTGATCTCCTTCCTTATGTTTATATAAAACACTTCCCAGTGCGACTCGCCAGCGTGAATCGTCCAAGGAGCATCATCAGGGATTATTCGAGCCTCTGGCAGGACAATTACGGTACTTTACGACGACGTACGTCTCTGATCACTGAACAAATTCGGAACGTCTCTAATATGTATGACTTGATTTCTCTCGCCAATATTTTCCCTCGATAACCTACTTTATCCAAGGCCTTCCTCGTGTCATTTTCGTAACTAAAGAGGCCTTGATGCCGGTGAGTGTCCGCCCCATCTAAAACTTTATACAGGAGTCGCACCTATTTTTGCCCATCACCATCCTACTTCCACTTCAACATCCTTTACCACCTCAGCGGTCTGGCAGACTACCACCAATAACAAAGTCATCAAGGCCGTGATAACGTAGAAGCGAAGGCGGCTGTAATACCACCTTTGGTTCGTACGCTGGTCCCCTCGGAAGGGTTTTTCATTCGGAAAAAATGACCCTGTCTCTCCGCTCCTTTTCTGGTCCCAGCAAGCTCCCCTCGAGCCCAAGGAATAGCCATCGAGATCGATGGCATGGAAGTTTGTCGATGTCGACTGCGATGTGCACATCATCCGCGACGTGTATAGGGATGAACCCTCCAGCCCCGAATTCCATATTTGAGCCTCGTCGATAGGTGGTAGAAAAGGGCTCGCTTTTCGCAGCCTTTCCAACGCTTGGTAGAAATCGCGATGCCCAGGGGCCATACTCGAGGGGCCAAGTAAGTTGCCAAAATCTCGGGCAGTATGGGGCTCGTCAGCCCTCAACATAGCTGGCGAAAAATTAGGCGATACCGACATCATGATGTGTACTGCTCGATTCAAGCAAAGCGGTATAAATAATTTAAACATCGAGGAACGATAGGGCTGCAAAGTCTCATCTCCTTCCGTCTCCATGATTTGCTATTCTTCCCGCCCTCCAGCCACATTGCATACTTCACATTGCCCCTTTGCAGATATCGCAGAAGGTATGTCGGGTTTATTGTGAAAATGAAACATTGACCCGGATGACAATCACAGCCACCCCGCATCGTCAATTTCTGGGTTTCCCCAAGGTATCCTTCTCCGAAGCTGTGCCGCGTCTGTGGCGTGTGCCTGATATTGGTTCGGAGAAATTATCCGCGCGGAACGTAAAGTTGAGGTGAGAATGGTCCCCGGTTGAATGCGGCAAATTCCAAGACCAATGCGCTTGCCTCTTATCCCTGCTCCCTTGGCCACGGAATGTCTCTCATTCAACGACTCATTCACAATGTCTACATCCGAGGGCCGGAACGGGACGAACGAGCTTTAATCAGATACACTTTTAGCTGAACTGAGGCGATATGTGATCGATATGGTCCACGAACAACACGAGATGACGGGTCTTTCTCTCTTCGAGTAGTAGATGAAAAGAGAGTATGCAAATAATATCTCGTAGCGAAGGTGCGACCACAATTGGAGTCGTTCGCTGACCCTATGGTTGAGCACTGAGCATCTACAGACTCCCGAGTTCCGCTGCATTGAGAAAGCATGTTCTGGTAAGTAAAACGGAGGGAAACCTGCAACGGTTGAGCATTCGTTGATCTTCCAGCACCGGGGGCATAGCTCAGTTGGGAGAGCAGCAGACTGAAGCAATGAGGTGTTCTGAAGGTCCCGCGTTCAATCCGCGGTGCCCCCATAAGAACCTTTTTGCAGTGTTACCGTTACCTGGATACTGTTAGTATTACGCTTGAAGCCCAACACTCGTGTACTTGGAAACGACGTCGTAATTGGGATATCCCCTCTCAAGGAGTACACACTGCGCATCTGTATCTTGCAATCGGTTGATCGATCATTCAACGCATGTCATGTTACATTTTGAATTACAATTCAAATTCGGCGTAGCTGTCATCACCATACCATCATGCCCGATATCTTAGCAAACTACCTCACGAAAGCTGTTGCTGATGCATATGGTGAGAAGGCGATATCTAGTTCAGATAATACTTGTGAGTGACTTTCTGACATATCCCGCTAAATATACTTTGGTTGAAATACACATAATTTTAAGATACGAGGGAGGTTGCGCAGTCGGTTGGATATACGGACAAAGAAATGGATTCAATTCCTGCATCTGCGAACATGGGTGTCGGATGTGGAAGCCCTGTTGCTGCCGCCAACCTGAAGCAAGTGTGTCCAAAGGCTCCACCTGATATCAGTTTGGAAGGCTGATATACATTCTAAAAGGGAGAAACTGTTGTTGATCTTGGATCTGGTGGAGGAATCGATGTGCTTATTGCGGCAGCCAAGGTCGGGACCCAGGGGAAAGTCATTGGGCTTGATATTTCACCGGTATTTTCAATCATTTGCCTGCTTGAATGTCGATTGAGTATCTTTAAAAAAGGAAATGATTTCTCTTGCTCGAAGAAACGCGAATGCGCAGGGAATAAAGCCGCCACACGCTTCTTTCGTCGAAACATCACTAGCAGAGCCTCTCCCAATCGCATCGCACGCAGTAGACTGTGTCCTTTCCAATTGTGTGATTAACCTCGTTCCGTCGACTGCAAAGGAGGATTTGCTCAAGGAAGTACACCGTATCCTCAAACCTGGAGGGCGTTTTGTATTGGATGACGTGCGTCAATTTTGGAGGAAAATGCTGTATCTTACTACACCTTAGATCATTACAAAACAACGCCTTCCCGACGATGTAAAAGAAGATCTAACGTCCTACATCAACTGCATCTCTGGCTCCATCCAGGTCGATGAATACAAGATTTTACTCCAGAAGGCTGGCTTCAACGGTATGTGTCTAGATAAATGTATCATGACATGTACACCAACAACTTGAACCGCGTAGATTTTCAGTTCCGTGAAACCAAGAACGACTTGAAGAAGATATGTAGCGGTGTTAATAACGCCTGCACTAGCAGTAGCGGTCCTAAATCTATCTTCAATGTCAATGACTGGGTCGGTGCGTATCGTTATCCTGGGCTATCCGGAGTTGTTAAGAGAATTGAAAATCTAGCATCCTACCAAATTACGGCATCGAAGTCTGTTAATGTTGAAGAAGGTGTAAAGCAGAATGTTCCTGATTCAGTACTTCTCCGGTGGTGGGACGCATATCCCAAGATCAAATCATCGCCGGCGGCTATCTCACCCGAATATGTTTCCAAATTGATGAAAGAATCTGCACAGGACCTTGCTGTGATCGACGTGCGTCGATACGATCGAGTTGTGAGTAGGTTTAATATCTCGCGATTTTTCTCGCTTTGAAATGATTCTAAGGGTGACCATGTTCGTGGAAGTGATAATTGGCCCGCGCAGACTTTTTATGATGATCTTCCCAAATTCTTGGAGAAGTATCGAAATACTCGGGTGGTGGCATTTTACTGCGGAAGTTCATCTGGCAGAGGGCCTCGGTGTGCTGGCTGGTTTGCTCAAGTTTATATAAACAGTTTGACATGTCATACTGAATTTTTTCAACAGGTACCAAGACCATCTAAATGAAACAGCAATCACCACCTCTACGGCATATGTCCTTCAGGGTGGTGTTAAGGCCTGGTTGGCAAAATACGGAAACGACGATGCTTTAGTCGAAAGAGACTAGTTTCTATTGGGCATTTGGCATTTGGAATTTTTTTGACACAGTCAAGGCAAAATTTCTCTTCCTTGTATTTTATAGAGTATGTGTGCTTCTTTGAATTTCTTATAACTTGTGGGCGTAAACAAAAAAATTCTTCTACGATTAATGAATACGACACGTCAATTACCCATCCCAGTCCTCTGATCCAACACCACCAGCAACAATGAAGAGATCTTTGGGGTCGTATTGTTCCTTAATCACCCTTAATCTAGGGTAGTGATTACCAAAGAAGGTTTTCCGGGAATTCCGCTCGTATAATGATGCCTAGTTATATTTTGGGGCTGTCAGTCGAAATACGTTTCATGAATGGGTTCCAGATACCTCGTTGAAATATGCTGCTGAGCTGGGGGCCACCTTATCCATGATATCGATTTTTTGGCGGAGATTCTGACGGATCATATTTATGTATGAAGCGGACTGGCCCTCGGTCCAGGCATCACTGAACACAACATGACCCACAGCATCACGCCATGCGGGGTTGAGGCCCGTGGAGTTTGGGTCAACCTTTGATACTGCACCACCAGCAACGAAACTAGATGATTATCAGCATGGCATTGTGCGTGAACGTCAAGTGTATCACAAACCACATCGTCAACCCGCCCTCAATGGCAAGCATTGCCTCTGCGACCTTCTCAGGACTGTTTTCCATTATCTCTCTCGGGATTAGGCGCGAGCCCATCTCCAAGTTGCCACCGACCTGCTCTCCCCCAAAAATTACCTGCCGATACCAGTCATAGAATGAATCGTATGGCGCGATATAAGTCTGCAAATCACTTTCAGCATTCGGAATGATTTGCCTTGCAAGGCCGAAGAACGGGTCAATAGTATCGTTGGCCTCTGCCCACGAAATATTCGGCGCAACGTAGAAGAAAGTCAATTGTGTTTGGGAAATGAATGCGTATCCGCCCCAGCCAGCATCGGAAAATGCGGGGTGTATCTTGATGTATTCTGTCATGACCTTCTGTGCTACCTCTGGTGACCTAAGCGTCCCAACGAAGAAGGTTCCTATGAGAGGAATAATCTCATGTGTGCGATGAGTTGCTGATACGACAACACCATAAGTGCCGCCGCCACCGCCCCGCAAGGCCCAGAATAGATCGATGTTCTTATACGCGTTGGCAGTCACGTAGTCACCTTTGGCAGTGACGATAGTAAATTCTAACACATTGTCCACGCCTGTGCACAGTCGATATTGATGAGCAGTGTATTGAGTCCGAAATCAAAAAATCAAAACCAACCGAGCCCGTGACGTGCAGACAGCGCGCTATGTCCACCACCCATCAGCCACCCCCCAGCAGCACCAATGGATCCATCCCCAGATACACCTCCAAGAATGTATCGTCCATGCAACTCTGCTGCTGCATACGCCTCGTGCCATTGCACTCCCGCTCCTAAAGTCAACGCTACCACATGGTCATTAGCATCATCAATTTTATACCATAGCTGTAAAGTACCTTTGTAAGGGACCATCTCTGGCGGTGCGCCTTCAGGCAAGAAGTTGTCAGTGTATGAGATATTCTTCATCTTATGCGTCCAAAGTAAGAATGCCCCGCGCGCCGTGCTGCGACCGAGGTAATCATGCCTAGAATGTGTTCAATGTATTCAATAGTTGCATCCAACTCAAACAGAAAGTGAAACTTATACTTACCCAGTATTTTTTATAACAAGGCGCAGATTATGTTCAGCTGCGAAGCGCACCGCGGCCTGAATGTCAGCAATGGATCGCGCCTCGACACCTACAGGAGGTACACTCCCCTTTCCGCATGGGTAAGAAAGTGTAGTGTTCAGGTAGCATGCATCGATTGTTCCATTTCCAAATATATAGGTCTCGAAGTTCGGCGCCTGCATTGCGCCGGGCTGGTCGGATGCCCACCGTCCATTGTGCCTCCTCAGAATTACTTCAGAGCAATTTCCAGAAGGGCTTGACGCGGGATAACACGCAGACGCTGGAGGAACTGGGTATATCAGAGGGGTCGAGATCTTCTCTGAGAGCTTGGCGAAATCGGAGGAGCTGGGCCAGCATTTATCACCAGCTAGGCAACGGCAAGAGGGGTTTCCACCGGTATTTGCAGTGACCATAGAGGATACAAAGATTGAGGCTACCAAGATGTTCCGCGGAAGATGCATGACCGTGATGATGTTCCTCGATATGCCCGTAGAACTCTTATACATGATAAACCCTGCATGTTTGATTTATGCTGCGGGGTTTAAAAAAGCGCTCCGCACAGAAGATCTTCAGGAAATCATCCAATGGAGAAGGCAGAGGCTGATTTTTGTCAAAAGCTCAGAAGGTGCGCAGTTCTTGAACGCATACGAGAAGGATTTTCACGTGGACTTTACCGAACGTCAATGATGCAGATGGCTTGGCATGCAATGAGCGCATCATTGAATAGGTCCGGACTCTGTGGAATAGGTCAAAACCTGTCAGAACGAGGCTATGCGTCAGAAATGACTCGCGGGGCGTATACAAGATCCACAATGTGGTGATGAAAATCTTCAATGAAAAATTTCCATCTCATTCAGTTTTTACTCAAATAAAGAATAAATTGCGGTCTTGGGAATCAATCGCTGCCATGGAGTAGAGCATTTTACAGAGGGGGGAGTGGTAAAAAATTAAAATCGCAGATGTCACTTGGCGGTGCTCGCACTGTTGTGGGTGTCTTTTCAGACATGACGACACCAAGTTAAGGCAATTTTCATGGGCACATGGTGTAGTTGGTTATCACGCCCGCTTAGCATTAGTGCTTCCTGCGGGCGGTCCCCGGTTCAATTCCGGGTGTGTCCAACAATTTTTTGTAGACAGGACGTCAAAGACACACGCTAGGTCATTATACATAAATAACTAGCTACATGCGGATTCCATATGCATTACTACGTAGTAAGAGCTAGCGTAAACTGCTACTGTACTAGTTCAACCGCCTATGTTTGTAAACAGAGTCTTGGCTAGATGTTACTCCTCGGAGTCTTTTCGAATTCGTGGATGTACACTTTTTCATCCTTTTTCTTCTCTCCTCTTCAAAATCCGAATAGAACATGGAGATGGCTATAAGGAGTAC